GTGGCACAGTCAGTGCATATCACACTAGTACTGTGCGTATGCCCTCAGTAGCAGTTGGAAACGTCAGCCTAAGTGCAAAAACAAAACAGAACTTGAAAAGTGCCACAAAAAATCCTGAAAACGCCGCAACAATAACCTTTCTTTTTATTTGTTTTTCGGGGACAGTGCAAGGTTTTACCCCTCGGCATAAGGCCCTGCAGCAGGGGCGTGACCGCCCTAAGTGAAGGCGGCCCCCCCAATCTCAATGTGCCCTGAACTCATCAGTTTTGTAAATCTTGGTTAGTGTCAGACAGTTGCCACGCGCCAGTTGGTTACATCCACCTTGCTCGTGAGAATCAAAATTATTTGTGAGCCTTCCAGGCTCTTGCAGCAACATGGTCGAAGCAGGGAACACCACAAGTTTGTGCCTGGGTGGTTGGGCATGCCTAACCAATTCGGTCCCAGGCCACTGTCTGAACGGGCCTGGGCGCAGACACTTTGGCCGAGACTGAAGCTAGTGGAAACTCGGTCCCTACAGGAAAGAGCAGGCCGTGCGCCCAACACGCACTGCATGCGGCATCGCTGCTTGAGCGTGCGCTCACATGTGCGCTAGCGCTAGGTGCAAGGCAGGCGGACAGAGGAGTCGAAGAGAGGCATGGCGCTGCTAAGGGAAGCACCATAGCCAGCCTCACCATAGCCGGGCTCAGCTTGGACAGTCAGCGGGAGGTGCCGGTAATCTTCGTGTATGTGTAGGAAGACGTGGGTAGAGAAGACGAGGGGGAGGGAGAGAGAGATGAGGATGATGACGTGAGGGCACATACCTGGTCTTGGCGATGGTCTACAAGGTCGACATCTTCATATACTTCGGCCGTTGCCTCCGACCTCAACAGGATGCTTTGTCAATTTGTAGGCTGCTAGTAGCTGTGTGATCGTAGTCTGGGTGCTGACCGCCAAGTAGGCGGAAGGGCTGTGGACACATATGTTGGTGGTGGCGAGAGTATGCTCTCCTTGACATTTGGATTCAGTGCTTTGGTTCTCCGTTGGTGGAATATCGGTCCTTTTAATCTTCCTCCCCATTCAGAAATAAATGTACAATACAACTTTTTCTATTCTCTGTATGGAAATATACATTATGTACGTCGTGACCTTTATTTTTTGATGGCTATTCAACCAGGAAAACATATTTCTCGCTTTTGGAAGTATAATTGTACAAAATTTCTCCAACTAAAGTTGGACTTTCTGGCTTTCAATGTAGGCTTCATGAGCCGCCCGGCCGGGCAGGCACGACCGTGCAACCGTGCAGGCTGCACGGGCAGGCAGCTGCACGGCTCACCCGTGCAAGCTATTTTTTATTACAAAAAATATATGTATATAAGGTGATTGGGGGGCTATGTGCCCCAATCCGCCTTTTCCACATATGTTCGCAACACTGCTAATTGGAGGTTGAAGATGGAGAGAGGAGGGCGGAGATGGCGGGCGGGAGGCTGGAGGTGGTGAAAGGGAGGTGTGAGGTTGCAGACGGGGATGTGGTAGATGGCCGGATTGAGGTAGGAGGTGGCAAGAGTTAAGTGGGAGATGGCGAAACGGAAGGAGGGGGGAGACGGCGGGAGGGCGGTCACAGAAGGAGAGAGGGAAGTGGGAGATGGTGGGAGGGGAGGTAGGAGGTGGCGGGACGAAGGCGGAGGATTGGCGGGAGGGAGGCGGAGGATGGTGGGAGGGATGTGGGAGATAGCAGGAGAGGTAATGGGAGTGGAAGGGTAGTGGGAGGTGGCGGTCATGGGAGGGGTAGGAGCAGGTCCCACACTGGGATGAAAGGTTGCAGTGTGCGGGAGGGGGAGGAGGAGGTCGCACTAGTGGGAGGGGGACGTCACACTAGGGGGAGGAGTTTGTGCGAGCAGAAGGAGGGGCCCACGAGGGAGGACGACGAGGTCACGTTAGGGAGAGGAGGTCACACAAGGAGGATGAAGCATCTGCATGCGCGCCGACACGAGAGAGAGAGAGAGAGAGAGAG